TATATAGATTCCTTAAAAAGTAAAATCTTAAAAAACAAAAACAAAAAACACCAATGAGGTTGATGAGGAAATTAAATGCTATGGCCCCTTTCATCTCTAAGTTTCAACCCTAAGTTTTAAAAAGTTTTCTAACATCCTTTTCAGTGGCTCTTGTTCTCCTGATAACTTAAGCTTTGATAAATTGATGCAACTTAGTGAAATAAATAATACTTCATAAAGTGCTCCCTTGACCATTTATTTCCTCCCATGCCTCCTCCAAAAAACTCTAAAGAAGTTAGTAATAGAAAATATGATTCCATAAAACATAAATCAGACATCTTTCCTGGACATATCACCTTGGAAACAGCCCCATGCTCTCTGATGCTTTTTTCCCCCCACAAGTACGTCTAGAAGGTAGTGAAAGACTCACGCCACCAGCCTACTAACATTCGTTACGTGACCCAAGCAAAAAGGCCAGGGATTTAAATACAGATTCAGAGTAATTTGAGAAGTTCTTCATCATTATCATTTTTCCCCAAATATTTTCTCTCTTAAAAAAAAAGTTCCATGGGGCGCCTGGGTGGTGCAGTCGGTTAAGCGTCCGACTTCAGCCAGGTCACGATCTCGCGGTCGGTGAGTTCGAGCCCCGCGTCAGGCTCTGGGCTGATGCCTCAGAGCCTGGAGCCTGTTTCCGATTCTGTGTCTCCCTCTCTCTCTGCCCCTCCCCCGTTCATGCTCTGTCTCTCTCTGTCCCAAAAAAAATAAATAAAAACGTTGAAAAAAAAAATTTTTTTTTTAAAAATTAAAAAAAAAAAAGTTCCACGAAGTTGCAAGGATTAAGATCACCTATTAGTCTCCTTCTGTTTTAGGAGAATGCCCAATTTCTGCAATCAGAATTATTTCTGGAATCTGGCTTGGAAAAAATCTGAAGGGTTGTGGTATTTGCGGAGGTGGTAAAGAAACGGCCAGCCTCCCTGGCAGGAACCCAAGTAGAGAGGGTAGCGGGGCTCCAGCTGCTTTGCTGCATGAACTGGAAAGGAGCAGATCTAGAGGGGTTTTTCTTTGAAGACACCAGCTTACCAGTTATCGATGCTACTTCCGAGGACAACGGATGAACAGCTACAGATGCATCTGTGTATATGTATACACTCACATACCTACACGGACACCTGCATCTGCATCCACACATATCCTAGCTCTGTCTACTGAAAAGGGCCTACAAGCAATGACATCCTGGTAGCAATGAGAACATCTAGCACCCAGATCTTGATTTCGCAGGAGCCTTCTTGAAGCACTCCCACAGGCTAAGTGTGGGACAATCTGAACATCAAAATAAAGGAGAGTAACAGTGTAACCCTTTAGGCAGAATAGGCACTGGGAAATAATAAGACATATGTATCTACACTGTCTCTCTTCCTGGTTCCTGACACAGAGCTCCTAAAACCCTTATCAACTCCTTAGAGATAGGAGGGCTAGGAACATCTTTTGTTCTAATATTTGGTCTTTGACCCTGATTCCTGACACACAGTTCCTAAATCCCTTGGAATTTCCTGGGCGGTAAGAGCGTCCTTTGCTCTAAGGAGGTGACTCTGGGTGGGGGCTGCTTAGAAAGACCAAAGCCACGGTTAGAAATTTGGAACTTTCAGGTCCACTCCCTCTTTTTCCAGGGAGGGAAGAGGGGCTAGAGATTGGGTTAATAATTGATCATGCCTACGTGATGAAGCCTCCGCAAAAATCCCAAAAGTAAATGGTTCAGTGTCTCCAGGTTGGTAAACACAACCACATGTCACGAAGGTGGTGTACCTCAACTCCATGGGGACAGAAGCTCCTGTGCTCAGAACTTTTCTGGACATAGAGGTGCATCAAAGGGCACCTTATGGTTTATCTGTATCATCTGTAGTACCCTTTATGACGAACTAGTAAATGTTAAGTAAATGTTTCCAGGTTCTGAGAGCAATTCTGGCAAATGATTGAACCTAAGGAGGGGGTAGAGAGAACTCTTGATTTATAGCTGGTCAGTCAAAAGCACAGGACTTGCAAACAGGCAGCTGAAGTGGGGGACAGCCTGGGGGACTGAGCCCCTAACCTGTAGGCTCTGCACTAACTCCACACAGTAGGCGTCATGACTGAAGTCCTGGATACCCAACTGGTATCCACAGAGATGGAAAACTGGTTGGTGTGGGAAAAACCTCCACACATTCGATGTCAGAAGTATCAAGAGCAGAGAGGAAAGGAGGTTGTTTTTCCTTTAGTTGGTGTCATCACTGTAGAGTTTTTCCTTTTAGGATTCCTTGAGTCTGCACCGATAAAGTATGCTTCATCCTATTAATTTATTTATTACAAATAAATCTAGAAGGGATGATGGAATTAGAAAAATTACAATCTGGCAACCGTCACAGTAATAACTCATTGTAATAACTAATAAATGTTGATGGTAAGTACCATCAACAGATGGTGGTAAAAGTCTCCCCACAAAATAATGATCAATTAATAAGCACACTATCTTTATTCATTAACTTTACAGAGAAACCGAAGTAGACACATTTATTTATTAATGTTTATTTATTTTTGTGAGAGAGCGAGCACACACGCACTCTCAAGTGGAGGAGGACAGAGAGAAAGAGAGGGAGACACAGAATCCGAAGCAGACTCCAGGGTCCGAGTTATCCGCACAGAGCCCAACGTGGGGCTCGAACTCACAAGCCGTGAGATCGTGACCTGAGCT